TAAAAGCATCATGAACAAGGATCTAAGGGCGTATGGGACGATCAGTTTGTTATCGTTAATTAATAAGTCTTCCTTCACATGAAGTTCCCGTTCGAAGGTCTTCAAAGAAGCCTCAAACTTATCCAATGTCCAATGATCTTCCTTCTTCAACCGCCTTCTTCACCTCTTTTAGGATTTTGTCTTAATCGGGCATCATCCTGATAAACTTGTTTGAGTAATGGTCCGTAAACACTAATGGAGCTGAGGGTAATTATAGGTCTGCCTTACACTTTGTGAGTTTTTTCTTAGGTGTTTCGGACATAATGTTGTTCTTAAAATTTACTGAAGTTCCATGATTTTCTACGCGAAGTGATAGTTTTAACAATTGTAATGAGGCTTGAAAAGATATATTATTGGATTTATCTTCTTGCTTTAAAGTTGAGAAAGTGATAATATTGAAGGTATTGAAAAAAAAATATACGATTTGTCTGAAAGAAAAAATGTTTGAAACTAAATTTAAAAAGTTTTAAAGGAAGGCAGCTGCTCGTACAAGACTCTGAACGCAAATGATAAGAATTTCAAATTTGCCATGTGTCTGTGACGTAATTAAGAACATTCGCGAATAACGACCGTTGGATGTGTTGCAGCTATTCGTTCTTTCCGACCATTTGATTTTACAATCCTACGACCATTGTAATTCTATTTACACTGAATACATCCACTTGATTATCAATCAACAAATCGTTTTTTTTTCAATTCTTCTTTTTACAGTCACTACTTACAATTAAAATGTCAAAAATCTTTTAAGACATCGTCACTACAAATTCATTGTCATAATGTGAGGTTGGGAGGGTTTTTCTTGAGGGTAACCTCGGCAGTAAATTGGTAAATCCCATTTCGTTTCCTGGGATATGTTTGATTTTGAAATTAAAAGGCAAGAGTCAGTTTACCTGACGGGTCAGTCTACTATGCATCGTTTTCTTACTCTGGTTTGCGTTGAACGCAGATGAAAGTGCTCTATGACCCGCAGCGATTTCAAACTCTGTGCCATATAAGTAGTTCTTGAAATGTTCGGTTGCCCAAACCACTCCCAAAAATTGTAACTCATTTGTTGAGTATTTTATTTCGTGGGTGTTCAAAAATTGAGAAGCGAGCTCAATTGTTATCCAAAGTTCCACGGTCCCATTGTTCCAATGTAGCTCCTAAGCCGTTATGCGAAGCGTCTGTTTTCAGTCTTGATTCTTTTCTTATATCAAACTGATTATTTGCCGTTAAATTCACAATTTGGTCTTTTAGTTCTTCAAAAGCTTTCGTGTGTGAATCATCCCAATGGTATACCGATTTTTTTTATTAATAGGGGACGGTGTGGTGAATTCAGTTTTTAAAGGTTAGCGGCAAATTTCATGTAGTGGTTTATTGAACCGAAGAATGATCTTAACTCTGAGTTGTTCATCGGACGCGGAAGATTTTTTTGATTTTATAAAAAAAAACTCGATTTTCACACCAATGGTTTCACTCCTGTGTGGCCAATCTTGAATTGCAACCATTCAATATCATTTTTTCCTTTTAACTGCCATGTTTTTGCTTTCTAGGATATTTGAAATTTTCCAGAGGATAGCTTTATGTTCTTCTATAGAACCTTTTGAGGCAATTAAAATATCATCAATGTAGCAGTTGGTAAACTGAATATCTTTCAATGAAGAATCCATTACCCTTTGGAATTCATTTGGCATATCTCCCAACCCACAGAATCCCGTTTAACATCGATAGGTTTCGATGTTTTTGCCCCCTTCTATGCTAAAACTGAATTGTTGCATAGTTGTAGCTGGCTATAGGTGTTTTTCAAATCCAAGCTACTAAAAAACTGAAGTCTTATTTGAGAGTTGGAGAACGATGTTGACAAAATATTCGTGAATATTCGGCATTTGATATTTATTTTCAATTATCTGGTTATGTAAGAGTTTAGAATGTAGGGCTAATTGTTGCCATTTTTTTATTGTAGTTACAAGTGGGCTTATGAAACAGTCTTCGTCACATTTATCTAATCTCACGATGTGCCCCTCTTTTTCCAGTCTCTTCAATTCGGACTATTCTATTCGGTTTTTTTAATTCGAGCTTTTGTAGCGGTTGTTTCTGCAGGATTTCTATTCCGATTTGGGGTAATTTTCAATTCCCAAAATATTCTTCTGGTGTCCAGTGGTGATAAAAAATGGAGCTTTTTCATCCATCCGTTAGATTTTATTCTGACTACAATTTTTCCGATCATGTTTATTGTATCGTTAGTGAAGCCGCAGTAAAATTCCACGATTTTCTTGCCCATGGTTAAAATTTTGAGCTGTGGGTTTCTCAATTTTTGCTCATGGAGCACGTTTTGTTGCAGGAAACTTACTCGACTAGCTGAATTCACTGGAATGTTCATATTTACAATTGCTTCCTCGCCTAATCCGATATTTACAAGTCTTATTGTTTCGATATTCGTATGTTTAAAACCGAGTAATCATTATTGTCGCTTATCCCTATTCTGTCCAGGCCTTTATCACTCCACAAAAGTTTTCCTACTGATTCACTTGTAGATCCACTGGAGAATATAAACAATTCTGATTATATATATTATCTTCTACATTATGTAGAACTGGCCTTCTTCCTTCTAAATTACAGAGTCTTCCAAACTGTCCTTTGTTTTTACAATGGTTACATATTATTTCTTTTGCTGGGCAAACGTTCAATTGTCCTTTGGTAAAATTATTTCCACATTTCTTACAAGAATAAGATTTTTCTATATGCAGACTTTGTTCTTTTCTTACAGTTTTAAAAATATTGTACACCTGCCGCTATTGTTGGTATTGGCCCTCCTCATGTTCTTTAATTTGAGATGACTATAGTATTTTCTCATCGATAGTTGCTTGGTTAAGTGCATCCACTGAGTTTAGCGTTTTCAATAGGAGTCGTCATTGAAGATGGCAATTTCTCATATTGAATACGATTACATCTGTTATCCACTCCGGTTTTGCGTTAATTCAAAATTCGCACGATCTAGCTGAATCCGATAGTGATCCCTAAAATTATTCGTAGGACTCTCTATCAAACTGTTTTCGGCTCAATAACTTGTATCGTTCAAAGGTAACGTTCGCTGTTTTAACAAATGCTGCGTTCAGAAGGTCGAACAATTCTTCGAAGAAAAAAATAGGACTTTACCCTTGGGTGTTTATAAGAAAACACTCATTTCCCCTTGTCTCCTGAAGCCAAGGAAAGGATGGATCTTACTTTCTTGTCTGCTTCGTTTCTCCTCATCCCCCCGAATTTTCTTTTCTCCTCTGGAATTCTTTTGTTCTCCAAATTTTCGTAGACTCGCGTTACTTCCTTTTTTCTGGCCTCTCTGGCTTTTCTCTGCGTATCAGTTTCTGACTCCTGGGGGCCTTCTAAAATAGGGATTATCGTTTCTGACTCAATTGTTTCTTTCAGATTATCTATGTCCAAGTTCTCTTTGACGATGATGGCCAAGTGGAACTGGTCAGTCCAATTCGTCCATAGGGTGGTTGGTTCTACAGTATAGTTTGGCTAAAAGGCGGGATTTCCCCGCAGATTTGAATCACTTGATTGCGCCGTAATAAAAAGTATTCAAATACCACTAGTATACTAACACCAACTAAGCTAAGTTAAAAGAATGAAAGTTATTGTGTTAAATTAAAACTGACTGTTGTCTAAATAGAACAAAAGTAACTCGAAGTCTAATGGATTTCGTATAAAGCACCGGTAACTAATTAATTGCTAGAGGTCAAGGTTACTAACGCTAAAACACACAAACGTTAAAACACACAATCACAACACAGTTGTAGTTAGTTTTGGTTTGTTAATCAAAACCGTTTTGCTGAAGTTTTCGACAACCCTTAAGATAACTTTTTTTCGTAAGCCAAAACAATGAGAAAAAGTTATAAATTCATATCCACATTTGATGTACAAAACAAAGACTTAAACTTAGCGTACAATTTGAACCAATTGGTTTGCCCTAATTCAATTTGGATGATTTTTGAGCCGAATAGAAGTGTCACTTTCGCGTTAAAACAAACTGATTGTTTGCCTCGATTTATTTATCCCACATTGGCAAAATTTGCAATATTCAAATATCGAACGATTTACAAAAATTGATCACAGGCAAAAACAAGGAAACTTAATCCAACTCTTTTTTCATAATTCGCTGATCTTTTTTCGAAGTTTCTCGGAGATGAACCGACATAAACCTTGTAATTGAATGTCCAATTTATGTTTGATTGATTGATTTGTACGATATTTGATCTGTTTTTATTGCTTGCTGCTATCAGTGTACCATATCAGTCCAAAGGCATCAAGATTTTATGAGATGGTTGTCTAGATAAACATTTGGGAATTATTTGAGCGCTTAGAGGCACAATTTCCTCATAAGGTTGTAGATTGCATCTGAGCCAGATTTTGTTTATGAAAAAAATTGAACATGTAAATAAACAGACTCATTCAATTTACCATGATTTGAAATTTTGCTACAAAAAATTGAGGGAATATTATGAAAACAAGTTTTTATGACATGTTTTGACACGTTAGCTCCCTTTTACTTGGCGTAGTGAACCCTGGAAACTCATTGAGCGACTAAGAAGTTTCAAAAAAAAATTTTAGGGTGCGATCTCAAACTTATTATTATAAACATTTATATTATATACGAAGCCATCAACCACTTGGATTAAATGCCAATTTAATTTGATGAACTTTTTAAATATGAAAAATGAAAAAACCTTTTGACCTTTCAGTGCAGTGCGGTATAAGGTTAGAGGATGATAAATCTTAAATACCCCCACTCGGAAAAAAAGACCAAAAAGTATTCGTTCACTATTAAATGAAGTTGCTTAACACTTTTTAGCACTGTGTGTAGACCTTTTGTTATTGATGGGCTGAAAGTTCCTATTTAGAACCAAAGTTTAAATTCTCCTGCCTGTTGGGTTTATAAGGCGGTGTTGAGTTGATCTTATTAATATTTTAATCTGTTGACTAACTTTGAGGATAGCAGGATGGAGATTGTCTGGGGGATGGAGCCGACCAGTCTCAGGTGGGGTAGAGACACACTATGACTCATTCTCCCGTCAGCAGAGGGTGACTGCACAATGGTGCGGGACTCGAACCGGTGGTAGTCGAACGCCTTCATCGGACTGTAAACAAGAAAAAAGACAAGCTACTGTGTTTGCCATTTGCAAAATTCCAAAAAAAAATCAAATTGAAAAAAATCAGTTGACTTCTTTAGTATTTTCTCGAGAGGGACCAACTTTCAAAACATTTTCGACATTTTTGCCGACTTTCTTTAAATAACCCCACTCGGAAAAAAAGACCAAAAAGTATTCGTTCACTATTAAATGAAGTTGAACAAACTTGGTGAACAAACGTCGAACAAACTTGGTGTTCTGAGTTGAACAAACGTCGAACAAACTTGGTGTTCTGAGCTCTCCCAAAACACTGAAAACATCCTAGTTCCGGAACTTTTTATGCACCGCGTTTTAAGGCGCTTTTTGGAAAGTTTTGAGTCGATCACCTAAAAAACGATGTCGTACAAAAGTACTAAACGGGGACGACTCTTTGTGTGGTAAGACGAACAAATCTGTGGGTACTAAATAAGGATGGGGGAGAACGCGGTGAAAGAAAGTGAGCGATACTCGGTCCACAGCTTCCAAAAATTGCTCAGAAAATTTTTTCGTCCAAAAAGTGCCGAAAAATTTTTTATATGCAGACAGTCTAGGGGTCCCTTCTAGAGTCGGTAGAGCTCAAAAATTTTAAATAAAGGCTGTTAAAATTTTACATAAAGGCTGACATTACTCCCACATTCGTCAAAAAATGCTTCGTCAAACTATGATTCGACCAATTGAATATCTGCCTTGTGGTTGGTTCAACTTAAGACTGACCTGAGTAGCATAACGACGTGTACCAGACAGCCGAGAGATAGTAGAGTATAAGAGCAGTCACATAGACACAGACTGGCCTTGCTTCTTCCGCCTAATAGGGATGCACCCTTGGCTGCAAACAGAACAACTAACCTTAGCGCTAGCTCATAGAGATCGACTGCTAGCTATATCTTCAAGGTCATTTAGTTCGTCTAATTGTAAATCCTAAGCTATAGCTGTTAATAGACCTGCCAATGTTGAAAGATTACAGTTAATCTATATTGTTTTTTTTACTCGATAACAATGCTGCTGATGATGATCTGATCATACTTACAATTTACAGTATTGAATATAGTTTAAAATAAGCTTAGTTTCGAATTTCAGGGATTATTTCATGGCTCAATTAGCACTTTTTCGATCTGATGATCAAACATAGTTTGTAGGAGCTTATTCAGCAGAACCTCCACATCTTTTGGGAAACGTGGATAGGCCAATTCTTGTCGATGATATCGCCGAAAAAAGTCTGTGATGCCATAACTTTCTTTTACCGGCACCTGATCCAGTTCACGATAAAGCAAGAGCCCGTTGTGTCAATACAGTCGAAGAATAAGGTACAAAATTGGAAGATAGAGCGTTAAACAGTGAAAACCTCCTTTAAGAATTTGCAGAATAATAAATTAAGCAAGAAAAGCCAGACATTACCAGGCTAGCTCTGCAGAAATAGATTTACTCATGGCCATAAAAATGCGGAGCACCAAATGTACACTGTAATTAATGTAGCAAGCGTGGACATTTTGCCGGAAAAATTACTCGAAAGTAAGGCTAGGAAAAATTGTATAACAAGATGAAAAAAGGAGTCGATCAGTTTCTTTGAATCTGATAGCAAATCAGAACATACAGTGTTGAAAATCTCTAAAGATATCAGCCAAGAAAGCTCACTAAAAAATAGGAGGTAATAAAGCGCGGCAACAGTAAAAACAAGATGTTTGACGGAAATTTTAAAATCGAAAGAATCTCTCTTTAGCGCGACAGTGGTACCAGAACTACGGCATTCTCTATCAACAAAAAAGACAACAGGAAAAGACACGTTCCTTTGATTGAACTCCAAATCTCAGATTGTCAGGTTAACTTTTGAGAACAATCTAAAGGTTTTCAAAAAAAAACAGGCAAAAACTTTTGCATTTTCAGAAGCCATAAACATTTTTCGTTCAAAAATTAAAGCACAACGTCTTGTGCAGAGAAAACACGCCCAGGTTTCGAAAAAAAATCTAGCAGATCTTCAAAAAATCTAAATTTTTTTGTGCAAAAAATGTTCGTCAAAACTTAAGTCAACGCATGTGTCCACACTTTTTTTCGGTTTCTCCCTTAATCTCAAATTTGGCACCGTAGTTCTCCAGAAAAACAAAAAATCTAACAAACAGTCCAAAAATTTTATTTTTCTAGAACCAAATTGATTTTCTACAAAATAACAGGCGTAGAAAAAATAGGATAAGAAAAAAAATTCACGCACCTAAACTTTTCAAATCAACCCGTACTCACGAACTTGGCCAGGCATTTTTCAACCAAAAATTTAAAAAAAACGGTCAAAATTTGAAAACGTAGACTTTCTCTAAATCAAAACTAATTCTCTACAAATAGTAAGTGCGTAGCTGCTGTTACCGACAGAAACGCTGCTACTTTTTTCCATCGAACCCTATATCTCAAACTTGGCAGTATAGTTTTAGAGTAAAATGAAAAGTTTTCAAAAGGGGTCACAAGTTCAAAATTAGAAAATTGAAATTGTAATGTTCATAACTTATTTCCACAAAAAGCCTAGTGCTTTTGCTTATGCATGCAGTAGTCCTAATACCGTTTCATTCAATTGAAAGTTTTGTCTCAGATGTTTCTTGGCACGGTAGGTTTCGAGAAAAAAAACTTTTTTGAAGAAACGATCAATGGTTCAAAACTTGAGCGTCTTCTAAGGCCATAATTATTTTCTACAAAAACAAGGCGTAGCAGCTTGTTCAGGTGATATTCCAATAATATTTTTATCTGCTTGAAGTCTTTGACGATTTCAGATTTGATGGGATAATTATTGACAAAATGATAATCAAATCTGTGCCAAGAAATTCACCCACTGCAAGTTTCGAATGCCACGTGATTCGGTAAAAAGAAACTAGCAAAATATACGGCACACAGGGGAGTAGACAGTCTGTCTATCGGTCTTTTAAAGCGTTTTTTGAAAACAATCTTGCCACCAAAAGTTGTACCACATTTGCGACTTGGGTTAGAAAAAAAGTGTACTTCGTATTAAGACACTACATTCCGCATGTGTAAATTATATTACGTCCAAAGAGTTTTTCAGGACTATATCGAATAATGAAACTTTTAAAACACCATAAAATGCAATGAAAAAAAAATTTTGGTAGCTTATTTTCTATAAATAGCAACTCTGTAGCTATCTCACAAAAAATTATGATTGTGTTAGCCATTGATATTATGTTAGATATTCTTTTACAATTATAATCTTTTCATAATATTTTCCTAATTTTTAATTTTCATGCGAATACCTGGAAAAAAATTTTCTTGGCTTTTAAAGAGAAAAAAAAAAGTTTTCCTTGTATTATAAAGAGAAAAAAAAGTAAAATGTCTTCAATGGACTTTTTAGATCATGTAATCTAATGTTTTTTTCTTCGAACATTACTTTTTCTGATAATTGGTTTTAAGTAGGTCACGTTCTTTCACGAACAAAAAACTGCCAGACAATTGATTACTAACGGTACGCGATAACAACTATATGATGGCAACTTCTATTTTTTCTGTACTGTTAGTTTTGATTAGCTGGAAAATATACGGACTTTATTCTGGCTCGGTCAAATAACTATTAATGAAAAATAGTTTAGGCAAAAATGTCAGAAGTTTGAGCATTCGTTTCTCATTGATCTATTCTCGAAAAAAACGATGGTTTGAAACTTCAACGCTGCATTTTTAACTATTGTTTTAATGATTCAGCAAGCCACGATTAAGCAATTCAAAATATATACTGGCGACTATATCGACTAACACAGAAAAAACGAGGTTTGACAAGTTGCTCATGACTTACGAGCACCAGCGGATTAACGGGGGGTGGGGGGATGGCTGACGCTTCTCCCTCAGGGATTTGACCCTCGGCCGACCCAAAGATTGCACTATTTTGAGAAATCCATTTTTGGTGACGGATCCTAAAGTTTTTCTAAAGGCGCCTTGGGCGCCAATATATTTTAAATTTGAGGGGTAGCGCGCGCCGAAAAAACGCGATTTTGTGGTCAACACTTTCCAAAAAGTGCTCAAAAACAATTTGGTCGACCTAAAAAAAGGTCGCAAAAAATTTTGAAATTTTTGAAAATCCGCCCCCCCCCCGTCGAGAAATTCCTAGATCCGCCCCTGGATTATTAAATAGATTCTTTATGTTTTTACATAAATGATCGCAGCTCAAATAAGTTCCTATTTCGAACTGATAGCATCAACATTTTCAGCAGGGGCGTAAAAGGACTTTTTAATTGTCAAGCTATTTGAAAAACTATTTGAAAAGAACTCCAAAATTATCACCGATTGGTTTCGTTAGAACAAATTAAGGTTTCAAAATGTTTTGCGCATTTCTAAAAACTGGTTTGACAGACATTACTCATTAAAATTAAGTGGAAATTGTTTTATCTGCAAGCTTCAGTTATCACCACGAAAAGTTGTTATTTTAGCTTGTCGCCGCAGAAGTTTTAGCCAACACGGGATCTCTGTGGTGCTTTGGGAGAGCTCGGAAAATAAGGTCGACAAAATTTTCGATTTTTTTTTGAAAATCCGCCCCCCTCGAGAAAATCCTAGATCTGCCCCTGCTTACCAGATAAGAGTAGTTTCTCAACCATATTCAATTATTTTCAATTGTGTTCCATTTTTTGCATCTGTATATGCACCAAATTTTCAGTTCATTGGGTGCAGCGCAGCGCAGACGTTTAAGTAAACCTATCCCCCCGCACGTTGCAACGTTGCAAATATATTATTTTCAGTAAAGTTGCTTGCTCTTATGGCTAAGGGCCTTAGTTTTCACCATAAGATGTTATTAACAAACGTGCTAACACTAATTGCATTAAAATATGATGCCGCCAAATTAGTTTTGCGCAAATTTTCATAGAATTATGATTCCGTTAAGTTAGTTTTTTGAAATTAAAAACTGGTGTTGGATGGAAAAAGAGCCAATGATTTAAGCCAATGATTTAAGAAAAAAGACGAGCAATGGTTAAGTGTCCATCTCTCAGGCGAAAGGTCCAAGGTTCGATCCACGCCATGGTCCCTGCGTTAGGGTGAGGCAACATTTTACCAGCCCAGAAAGATTGCATGTATCTTTAATCATAGAAGCCAGAGAGGACTGCGGCGTTAAAAGCTTACAGTCCAAACAGTTCGTATATTAATCCTTTTCCTTGTGAAAAATGGTCTTAAACTTAATCAAAAGCAGCAAGGCCGACATAAACAAGTGCTTGCGCGACATACTTTTCAGGTAATTTTGAACTGGCTTAGATCAAATGTGGCTTTTTGGTTCATTTGTGAAGTTTGGGCTGAAATAAACAGGTGAGTTAATTGGAAACAGTACAAGTTGTTCAATTAAACGCAGACTGTGACAGCCAATCAATAGAAACAATAACAAAAAATCTGGACTCAAGCAGTCCTCATAAACAGACCTCAAGCTGATTGATAGTTGCTTATTTTCAATGAAAAGCAAAAAGTTAGAAAGGTCTGAATTAATTAAACACAGCCAATTTGAATAAACTGTGAATGCAAACCTGACATTTCAGGTGACCTTAAGACATAAATTATGTCTAAAACCCAGTAAAAATTTTCCAGGAACAGCAGATATGTGCGTTTCAGTGCCCTCATTGATTGATTGATTGATTGATTGATTGATTGATTGATTGATTGATTGATTGATTGATTGATTGATAGAATAGGATGGGCGTTTCTTACCAAGTATGGCTGGTAGGAAGAGGTTGTAGAAGATGGGGACATGGAGACAACTCATGGCCACGAAGTTACTACTCTCAGTGCCACTTAGCAGAGAGAAGGAGTGCAACACAAGAAGTATGTCTCCCCCCACACAGAGGAACAGGAGGGTGCCCATCAGGATGACGATCTCACTGCTGGTCACTCTACTCACTCGCGGCAGCAACAACAAACTAAACACACAAATAGTCGGTTTGTGTGCTCGTAGAATGATCTGACCACGGTATTTTTGACAAAAGTTTTCTAAAACATTTCTCACGGCTATCTATCTATATATATTTACAAGTTCTTGTCATTTTTTGAGAAATGAACCACAGGTGACGAGGCTAAGCTGTCTTGTAAGATTCTTGCACGTGACTGGTTCAGGGGATGATCTCGGATTTTCTCGATCTAGGGGGGGGGGGGGGGGGGGGGAGGGGGGCGGATTTTAAAAAAAACAATTTCTCCCAAAGCACTACAAAGACCCTGTTTTGGCACTTTTATTTTTTTTTAGCACTTTTTGGAAAATTTAGTATATATTTTATATATTTAGGCGCGCTCCCCCTCAAAATTAGTATATATTTGCAAAAATTTTAGATCTGTTACCAAAAGTTGATATCTCAATACAGTACAAAGGGGGGCCCTTTGGGTCGGCAGTGGGTCGAATCCCTGGGGGGGGGGGGGGGGGTTTGCTTCAAAATACCGAAAACTGTTATAATTTTTCAGCATTTTATCCGAACATGAACTAATTTGGCAAAATTGTTTATCACAAATTTCAATTTATGGTTCTTATACCAGAATTTTTGCAGTTTTTAGGGGTAATAAACGTCAAACTTTTTTTTGCTCACTTTTTTTGCTCAATTGTAAATAAAAAACAAGTCAAGCAAAAAGTTTTTACTTTTTCCCGCTCCCTGCTAATGTCTTCCTGCAACATTAACTTAATTACTAATACCTGTAAGGTAATGACAAATGACTTTTGGTGATTTTTAGCGAAGAGTGATTCTTCTTTCTAAATTAGTTTGAAAATCCGAAAATGCAAACCGAGCCATTACGAGGCTAAACTGAGCACTGGAGACAATGGTCATTAAGAAACCACTGGTTAACACGAACTATGGAAAAAGGACGTTTAGATTTGCTGCCGCACACCATTGGAATAGTTTACCATGTAACCTTAAACTACCAAATGAAACTGAATTTCGTAAACAGTTGAAAACGTATTTGTTTAACCAGTATTACTATGAGACTTGTTTCAGTTAAAGGTTGCTAAAATGACTGAAACTAGAAAGGTTGGAATTCAAAAGCTAAACGAAACCTTGCGTCTAAGAAATGTTCATGTTGAAACCAGGTTTCTCCCCAAAAGACGGATAATATTGAGCTCTGATAAGATCAAGAGAGTGACATATGCTGTTTTGGGATCATCGCTAGTTTATGGGATTTTTCTGCCAGATTCAGTGACAGTTTCGTGCCCTGGTGGAACTCTCTCAACCCTTTGTAGCGATCAGGTTCTCAATGATATGAAAAACTTGGATGTACAAACAGTGCTCATAATGGGAGGAACAAACAACCTGTTTGACCGTTCAGGGCGCCAGTCATTGGGAGCGACTGAAGTAGCCGAGGAGATGGAGAGTGCTATTTTTAGACTCCTTGACTGCAATTTCGAAGTTGGCGTCATGTCACTTATTAGCCGGGAAGGTGAACGCTCTCTTATCAGGAGAGTGAATAAATGCTACAGAAATCTAACGGCATGGTATAAAATCCCGCTCTTTAAAACTGTAAAGTTCAGCTATCGGAGGCATGTTTGCGCAGATGGACTTCACCCCACAGCAAATGGCGTGCGCGAACTTGCTAAGGACTTTTATGACGCCTTCAGAAGCATAGAAAATCCAATGGCTGTGAAACGAAGGCAAAGAAGGCGACGACGATGAAACGCCCAGCTCATTTTAGAGCGGGTCCGATTTTTAACCATCTTCAAAGAACATTTTCTGTTTAAATCCCAGCTCATTTTAGAGTGGGTACGGCTATCGACAGAAACGAACTCATCTTTAGCAGAGCGACTGATTATTTATACGACAAAACTGGTTTTTAATTAAACTCAAACACCTTTGAATTCAAGAAATTGGTGTCGAAATAACATATGTGATGATGATGATGATGATGATGTTTCAAAATGAAAATGGATTCCACTTAAAACATTTCCGTAAATTTCGCGTACAAAAACGAGCAACCTGAGTTTTGTCGTCACATTAGTTTTGTTGCGGATAATAACTTCCTGTGGTTCATAGTTTTGAGCAAAAAAATAACCAGCGAATATAGATAGTTGTTCCAGATTCTTCAAATGTAAACTGATTCCACAAAACCTAATTAGATTCCGCAATTTTTGTGTATTACACTGAACTATGTTGATGCGTGAACAAATAATAGCTAGAACTAAAACTAATACCTGGCAAATGCAAAATATAAAAACAATGACTTAGCCATCATGCCAAAGACAATTTTTATGTATTTTTTTTCACAACTCGAATCAAATCTGAACCGTCTTGAAAAAGTTATTTAAGGGCTTTTTTGGGCTGATAGATTTCGTATGAAAAACACGTGGAGCTCTTCCACTCTTCGCTGGCGGGCTAACATTGAAAAGGCCGAGACCTACGAAAAAATATAGTTAGTCTGAACTAATGGGGAGAATGAAGAAAGATTGGTTTTTTCTGGAGGTAACCATAACCAGTTGCTATGCAAGTCGAACAGAAAGTTCCAACATAATAATTTGCCAACGTTAAAAGAAAAAAAAATTATTTCTGTTCATTTTTCTGATTTTTAGAGTGAAGGTCTAGCTAATTCAGTGAAAAATAACTTAGGTTTTCATAAACCAATAATTAAGAAAACTCAAAATGAAGAAAGCTTCAAAATGAAGAAAATGAGGAAAACTTCAAGATGAAGAAAAATTCAAAACCTGATCTTCATACGTAAAAAATAAGTTTCACTGGCTGTTAAACTTCCCCCATGGATTCAACCCGTTCAGTAGCCAAAAACCCCCCTTGATACTATTTTACGACGTGCATATCGGCTGACCGACACAAGAAATTTTCGAACAGCGGCCTTCGCGCCATTTCATAGAAACCGGAAGTGCAGCACATTTTGTCCAAAAAGTCTTTATTGGGTTTTGAAAGAGCTCGGAAGACCAGTTTCGTCGACTTAGAAAAAAAATAAGTCAAAATTTCGGAAAAGTTCTCGAATATCTTCTCCCTCCTGTCACAAAAAAATCTTAAATCCGCCTCAAAATTTTGATATTTTGTACGTCCCATGCTTAGCTTTGAGTGAAAAAGCATGAAAAAGTTTTTGACAAAAAACATCCTAATGCAAATTTTTTCGTGCCCATTAACTTGTCAGGATAGTTAGCGACGTTTTAGCGAACTGTTGAAAGAGTAGCGGAGTGTTAATCATGTTAAAATTAAAGTTTATAATGACTCCTAGAGATGAGAGTTTCTTCGATCTACATTTGTCTGAAAAACCAAAATATAAAACCTGGTTTTCTAAACAAAGACACTTGCTTTCGAATCCAAGCTGAACCGTCTTAAAATTGGTATTTTGGAGATTTTTTTGGATATTGGTACTTTGAATTTCTACAGGCAAGTGATTAATATTTAGAGTGTCTCTCTTTTTTAATTGGTGAAAAAGCAAATCCTATAAAACAACACTTTTTCTTGACACCGAGAAAAATTTTTGTAAGCCTTTATTAATTGATCTTTCCACGACTGAAAATGTTATGACAGTGGCGGTTTCATGGGGATGGGCGCGCATCATCTAAAAGGTCTCCCATTTGGTGCTTTTTTACGACATTTATTTTCCTCCGATCGACACTGAAATTTTTCTGTTGTATGTTAATTGTCAAGAAAACAGCAAAATATACTGAAATTTAGAGTAGTTGCGCGCCAAAAAGTGGATCAACGGAAATCTAGTTTTGCCGACCTAATTAAAAATCAAACTTAGATGCGCTTTGATATGATTTATTTCCTGTGGTACCTAGTTCCTGTGGTACCTAGTTTTGCGCAAAAAAAATCGAGAAAAATTTTTTAAAATTATCATTCGAATACAAATACACTGCCCGTGTCGTGGTCAGAGAAAAAAATAACAAGAAGGTTATTTTTGAAAAATTTTTTAAGTATTCTCTCTTTTCACTATTGATTTGTTTTTTAAGCTATTTTTAGAAATAGCCAGCGAAAAACACCCACTTTCTGATATTATATGTCTTGAGGTTGTAATGTTATTTTTACGCATATTTTTGCAGTATTTCGAATTTGCACTCCATGTTGTGAAGAAGAGTAGTTTCAAATTAATTGCATAAACTGAACGAAAAAAAAGTTTTCAAATTCGTTCCTCTCGAATCGGTTTAAAAAAGTTTTCAAACTCGTTCTTCTCGAATTTTGCTTAAAAACTGATGCTCAGAAACATTGTTTTCTGGTGCAACCCACATTTTATGGCGCAACCATTTTAAGAAGCAACTTATTTTGCAAAAAAAATTTTGAACAATAATAACATCAATGAAAAATGTGAAATATGTTGATTCAAATTTTAGTAAAGGAACCTGGTAAAATGATGTAAGACTAATTACGAAAGGGCTTTCTTCCTCAATAATTTTGAAATTCAAAGAAATTGATGCTTTTTAAAGGTGTTATTTTGGTTTGAAATTTCGCGAAATGAGTTGCGTCACAAATTTGCGTGCAAAAATGCAGACATTTTTTTCTCTCTCCTCATGAAATTTTTTCGAAAATAAACCGAATTTGTTTCAGTTCAGTTATATTGAAATATCTCTTAGTAAGTAAATTGAAAAAAGAGTAGTGGAACTGTCTATTGTGTACCTGATTTGAAACGGGTGTAAAATTTTTTTGTTGAAATTTTCTCAGAAGGGACCAAATTGACTTTGTTAATGCTATCTGGAACGTGATACTAAAAATCCTTTTTTCCAAAAATTTTTCTGCGCTAAAATTTTTTGAAAAATATGTCTTCACGCCATTTTCCGACAACTTCTTTGTGTAGGATTGATTTACTGAAAAACTGATGTCCAAACAAATTAAAATATGCCCTTTTGTTGGCCGGAGAGGCAAATAACTGTACGCCCTCAACCCTCCTCCCCCCCCCCCCCCCCCCCCTCTCCCCCATTACTTTTCTCATCTTTACCTGATGGTGTTGAGTGTTATTGACACTATATGCATAGTTCCGACGACGCTATCCAGTTGTCCAGCTGCTGACAGTCTCGACATTAATGAGACGCCACCAACGTCATTACCATCAACAGCAACAGACGAGGACTCCCTTTTTTCCATCTAATGTCAGCTGTTTTGTTGTTTGATATTGTTTTAGTAATTGCTGCTTTTTTAGTAATTGATAACTAAAATAAGTTTTGATTTCCGAAACTTAAGAAGTTCCAATTCTACTCATAAATACCAATGGGAATGGATAAAGCGTAAAAACATCTCAGTTTAGAATTTTGAAGGGAGGTTCACAACTGCTCCTTGGAAACTTTCTGCAATATTTTTGGAAAAGATTTTGCTAGACATTCTTTTCTTTGAAATTGGAACAAGGGCAGTAATTATTTGAATATGGCTGAATGATTAAAATCAAGTGATCAAACAATCACAACGAAGTCTTTTCTTCTGCCGCAGATGGTATGAAAACTAGTTAGCTTTAGTCAAAAATCTTCCGGTGCCGTTGTGCAATTATATATGAAGATTGAATAAATTAGCGGTGAATGGCGGCGTTGAAACGCACGCTTAAATTGAGGAGTAATTCCACGGGGGATCTCTCGTGCCAGAACAGAATGACCGACTGCCGAAAATTATGTAAGCCAATCAGAATTCACCATTTGAAAATTTGAAACAAATGGGAGCTGCAAAATCGTTTCAGGGAAAGAAATTGGCATAAAATTCGTCATATTTGTCATGAGAATAGCCCCCTAACTCCACCCTTCCTTGATCACTCAGAGGGAGTCTCAATAACTGGTCCACTTATTGATTGATGAGCCGACGGGAAGTCGGAAAAACGGGGAACAAATGCTTACTGATTGAATCAAAATTGGGCAATTTTGTTTCGGTAATAAATAGGGCTAACAGGTCAAATACCATTTGCAGCAAACCTGGAAATGAATGCTCAGAATTTCAAAAGGCAAGATGATAAACTATGCGGGAAATAAATACTAATCAAATTATTCCTTTCTTTCGGTACCATTTTTGTTCTCTTTTTAAGCTAATATCCAGATTTTACAAAGAAAACGGCTTCTCAACTTTCTGTCAATTTAGTGGGGAAATTGTATCCAAAATGTGTCCAATTTAAATCCAATATGCAAGATTTCAGACGGATGCAAAAAGCAAACTGCCATTGACAAATGGAAGCGTCAAAAAGTCGAATTAAATGGAAAAAAAGGACGAACCAAATACATCTGGAAAATGAAGTTATCAACAGAATAAAGGGAGGAAAACAAAACAGCTGGTTCAATTGGATGGATAGAGTTGAAATCGATTGGCAGATGATTTCTTAATAAGGCAACTGGGGGGCTTAGCAGAGGAAAAGGAACTGAAAAATTGTGCACCGCCACTCTAAAGGAGATTATAAAATAAAAGCTAATTAATGAAATTTTTAATTTAAAATATAACAAGACTGCTCGTATATCAGGGCAAAGCCCTGAATGTTCCGGTTGTTTTTAATTCATATCGAATAGTTTTTGGGAAAAGAAAATATTGAAAATCTATAAGCTTTGGACAATATCAAATACCAAATTTGAGTTGTACGAAATTAAAACGACCGAATATATTTGGAACAATTTTGCTGTGCGTGATAATAAAAGTGCGCTTCCACATCGAGCATAAGAATTTTTAGCGATTTGATGAAAGAGTAGCGTAGTGTTATTCTAGTTGAAACTTAAGTTTTTGGTGACTCCTAGAGACTCCTAGTTTCTTGCTTTCGAATCAAAGCTGAACCGTCTTGAAATTGGTATTTTGAAACTTTTTTGGAAATTGGCACTTTGAATTTTCAGAGGCAAGTGAATAATATTTAGAGTGGCTCTTTCTTGTCAAAAAGCAAACCCTATAAAACAACACTTAGCACTGAGAAAAAGTTTTGTAAGCTTTTATTTATTGGTCTTTCCATGACTGAAAATGCTATGACTTTACGCTTTGATGTTGTCCAAAATTTATAAGTTTTCATTATTTTCTTTTCCCAAAAAATAATCGATATGAATTAAGGGTCAGTCGGAACATTCAGCGCTTTGCCCTGATATACAAGCAGTCTTGCTGGTTTGATAAGCGACTATTGATTTTATGATAACTCTACGAACATGATTTTAAAAATACTGAAAAAAATAGTCAGTAACATGTCACTTTTGGCCTTACTGTACTTACGATATAGCTGTTCGCCTCCAAAACAAATTTTTTGAAGAGAAAGAAGATAATTCGAAAGTTTTCAGGGCTCAATCCAATCACTAAACATGAAATAAGCAATGTGCAATTAAAAACAAAAATTCATGATGCATTAGTTATTTTTAATACTTTTTTGGCAGTTATGACGGCCGAAAAAGACTCCATGACAATTGCTGTAACGGCTTTATTAGCTCGAAACCAGAAAAAGCTCGAAACTGGTTTGCTTTAACAGCACGATGCAACTAAAAAGCTATAAAAAGCACAATGGGGGCATTGTTTTATTAAAGAGGATTTGGATTGAATAGGGAACCAATCAGATTTGTACATCAATTTATTTAACATATGCAGTTGATTATATGCGGTGCATCATTTTGTCTCATCGAGCATGCATTGAAAGTCACAAAAAACTGCTCATATCAGCGCGATTTTTTGAATGTTCCGACTGCCGTTTAACGTCTTTGGAATGGTGTTCATTTGTTTAAATAACAGTTGAAGTTTCAAAAATTATCCCCATTGTTTAATGTGTGGGGTATGATACTCACATTCACCATACCCCATTATTTCCCATTCTCCATCTACTTGAAAAACAAACAGATATAGTTAACATGTAAAATAAAACTGAATAGAAAAATTAGCATGCCTCAACTCAAACTAGAACGAATACTAAGTCGTGTTAAATAGAAACTTAGGCGTTAGCGTTACGAAATATATTGCGCGCTATCTTACATAAACTGTCCGAACTGGCAATTTTCATACCCTCATGATCTCTAAAAAAGATCATAGGTAAAATATTCTTATATTTTTGAAGACAAAATATCTTAGCGATGATATAGAAAAAACCGTCAAAAATAGCTTGTTAAAAAGTCTAAATTTGTTCGAGCAAAATGAACCCAAGCACAAATCAGCTCTTCAAAAACTTCAAATGGCACTGCATAAGAACATCAAAAATCAATTACCAACAAATATCAAGAAAACTTTGCTTTTGCCAAATTTTTACGCCAAAAACTACAGCAAAAAATATAAAATCGGATAGAACATCCATCCTACAAAACAATCACCGTCCTTAGACTTTCTCGTGAAGTTTGTAGATATTTTCCACTATTTTACAATTTTCATAAAAGAGTTTTTTATATTACCATTTTTTTTTCCAAAAATTCAATAGAGTTTTTTTAAATTCGTCAAAATATTTTCAGTACTTTTTCTATTCTATGATTACGGTTGGAAAACAGTTTTTAAAAAATTTGATTTTTCAAATATATGATTGTAAAAGTTTTTTCAATAAATTTCTTTGTCGCATCGGTGGTAGGTCACTTGGCGAATTGCTATGTTTTGTTGATGAGACCCCGTTATTGTACTCTGCAGCAGCGGAAAACTGATTTTCTGGTAAAAGAAATGTATAAAAAAGCTCCTATTTCACAAGTTTAGACCTTTTTTTGAGAAAAATTCCCGATCTTGTAATAGTCTCATCGCGCAAATTCCAATCAAGAACAGAAAGCAACAATTTTATATGACAGGTGTATACAAAAATTGGCGATTAAACTAACAAATTTTGACAGTTTTTTTTCTATATAAAAGTTCTTGTTGTACTGAGCACGGGAGGATAGAAAAATTTCTCGATGGGTTGTATCTTTTAAATCTCAAGAATTTCAATTAATTTTTCAGGTCGACAACGTTGATTTGGCAAGCTATCCCAAAACACTGAGAATACCCTGTTTTGCTGAAATTTTCTGAGTAAAAATATATTTGAAATTATTATTTTTTAAAATTTAAGCAACGTTTAAGTATTATTTTTTAAAATTTAAGAATAAATTTGAAAATGCGTTTTCTAGCGCGCTTTCACCTCAAGTTTATTGTTCATTGATATTGAGTAAAGTTAGGTAACGTTTAAAGCCTGGTCACTAAAAGTGTGTGCAGAAAGTAGTAATAAAGGGGGCGTTTCAGTAGGTCATGGGGGAGAACCTCTTTGGTGGAGCATCCCGCCTAAATCTGCCACTGTCTATAAATATAAAAATATAAAAAATAAAGTTAAACTCCTCTTTGCTTAAGAAACTGACCATCTGACTAAGTAAAGAGCCTTTCCTTCGTACCACTTTACGGCACTCACTTTTGGCAAATCAACATAAGCATTTTTTTTCAAATGGCCCAATATCTACTAATTTTTAGCGGGTTTTGGGCTCAGTTTTACCCTTCTAAGTTAACTGTTACTTTTTTGCAAAAAAAAGATTTTGAAAGTTATTTTGGAAGACCTTCTAATATTAATTGATTCCATCGAAAAATATTAGAATTTTTGTCTCTTTCCTTTGCAAATAGGAGTTTCGTTTTTTCATTGCTTCGGATGAAGATTGAAACTGTACGAGTAAATGAAATCAAAAATGTGAAATTTTGGAGGAAAACATTTTGTATCAGTTTTGTAATTCGACCATGGCTTATAAAAAGAAAAAACGAACACCAGCTCTTACTGAAACCTGAAATTTCACAGTTTTAAATTAGCAAAATGGCCTCAAGGAGGCTAATAGGATCATTATTACCTCTTTATAAAAGTAAATATCTTCTTATTTGTCAAAAACAATCAAATATTCTAAAAAAGGGTTTTCCGTTTCCGATGGGATAAGCCTGTAAAAACCTTATGTAAAATGTGACCCCTAATAAAGATTTACTGTGAAGCTTTCCTTGAAATTAATATAAACGACAAAAAAAAATTTGAAAAGATTCAATCTAAATGAATATTTGAGTTTAAACATTAATCTTTAATTTGACTCCTACTCGACTTTATTGGATGTTAATTTGAAATATTTCTTTTCAGGTGGCTGACATTTTGGCCTCTATCGAAATTTCATCCTACTCACAACTGATTGGAAGAAAAGCTGAAACTTACAGGAAAATCATTTCAAAAGTTTCTTTAGTTGGAAATAAAAAAAGCTTGCAAAACTTCTATACTTGAACAATTGTGCAGAAAAAAACCACTGCAGATATTGTGTGACCAGCGTTTTTGTCGCACCAATAAACTATATGCTAAATTTTTTGAATGTTCTGTTTATATGAAACATTCATTCTATTTTTTTGCTCAAATTTCTGAGCTCTGATACACAAGGTAGCAGCCACGTGTCATTTATCTGATTGAGTTTAGCTTTTGTAAGTTAGCACTAGATGCAAAAAAAACACACTGCTTTGTATCAATGCAAAACCTTGATTGTTCCGACAGTCTTGGGAAGGTCTATGGAGTAGTGTACATGGATTTGTTTAACTATCTGTTGCGAAAAGCAAGAATTTGTTATGAAGATTTTTTTGAAATCGACGTGTACGAGAATTTAACCAAAACTTAAGTGGTTTTCATGGTTGCTATCAGTGGAAAAAGTATAGATAAGAACAAGATATGTTATTAGGGAGAAACATTTTTTTCTTTACGTATTCTCATTTTTGGTAACTTTTTGCCAAAAATACATACGAAACAAAAAGCATCGAATTCATTTATAGGATTGATTATTATCATGAGACACTATCAGATTTGACCCCTTGTGATAGTTCGTTAAATTCAACTTAAAACAAAGAGACAGTAATAAGTATAGAATCGCGTTTGAATGGTTGGTAGATCGGTGATTGCATTTTTTGAATTCTCTGACACTTGCATCATGCTTTAAAATCATCGCTTAATACAAATCTTGGAAAGACTGCTAAAAGACAATTTTGTTACTTATCGGAGTTCTGCCATTGATCGGGAATGCTTCGGTCCAGCCACTTCCTGCGTTAACATCAATCAATATGTTTCCTTGCTTTTTGATATGTGCTCAGTTCACATGTTTTTTTTCCCATGAGTCTGCTTCCCCATTTGGAAACTTTTTTTCCTAAGCCTTGGTCTGTTCTTTTGACAGACCTTGCATCTTGAGACAAATCTTTTCACATCTTGTAACATGCCAAGTCTTCTGAATTTTGGCAGTATAAAAGTTACAACGCAAACGTAGATGACGCCTTCTCGTGTTGTCAGTGTTTCAGCTTCCTTTTCGATTTGTGATTCAACTTCTGAGCATTGTCTCCAGTCACTGCTTTGTATCCTTTTAAACACGTCTTGAAATAATCAATTCAATTGGAGATCGCTTTTGATATTGTTTAGCTTGACTGCATGTTTGTCTGCAAAGAAGATGTCATTCTGGAAGAAGAAGATTTTCTCTTCTTCTAATGTCTCGTCATTGTCCGCATGTGGGATCTGCTCTACTGGTCCAATCTTCAGCTTTTATTCGAATCACATTATCGGAATAGCCCATCTGGGTATTCTAGCGGATTCTGTTTTTGGTATATCTACATCTGGAGCCAAGAGGTACTGCTAAGGGTTTGTGATATATTTCTAGAAAGAACTTGCGCCGCAGTAAGACCTGTTTCAGTTGTTCGACCACCAAAACCATTTGCGTTGGAGTTTACATTGGAGTTGTTGTTCTTAGCTGATGATGGCTTCTTTGAAACGTAGGGCACTGCCTGCTGTGAAGCATCGGTTGTCAAACTCACCTCTTTGTCAATGGAATAGGGTTGGTTGAATGATTTTGAGCAGAGTTTTTGTATAATACACTGAAAACACTTAACGGTAGCATCAAAATCAATTGTCCGTATAATTTTGCTAATCTACAATTTGATTAAATTTCTTTGTGGTACACAGGTATCTCGATGCTACCAATCTTCTCAACAAGCCTATCCTTAGGTTTTCATCAATCAAATTAAACTGAGCAGCCAAAAAATGAAAAACTTGTGAATGGATTTGAGTTTGACTTGGTCTCATTTATGGTGAAATTTTTTCTCTGATTTAACCATTTATTGCCGTTAAAAGCTTTCTGCATTGCTCGCGTAATGCTCTCTAGACCACCAGGTCGTCTTGGAAGATAAAAACGCGTTTGACTGTTTTCTCAGTGCAATTTTGAAAGATCGAAGAACAGTTCTCCAACCTTTGTTGGGTTTAAACTGTACACAGTTTTTTTCAATTCTTCATCAAATTCAATTTGATGACAAGCGTCTGAGAGGTCAACTTTTCCGAAGCACTTGGCTCCATGCAACTTATGGAAAATTGTCTCCATTTCGTGTATTGTGTAATCTTTGTCCATCACTGTCATCAAGGTTAACTTTGTAGTCGGCACATAGACTGAGATCTCCATTGTTCTTTCTCTGCCATACGACTGGTGATACCTCTCCGAAAAGGACAAAAAAAACTTCATAAACCAGAAAAATCATTGATTTTTACCCAAAAATAGCAACGGTTGCTAATCTTGTTAAAATTTAAAGTCTTTTTGATGAATAGTTGATGTTTTTCTAAATGATTTTCTCCTCCACCAATCTCACAAAAATATTACGAAGATTTTTTTCCCATTTTTTAACTAGTAAGCTGTATTCGTAAGCTTAGGAGATGCCTGCACAGCAGTTAATTGATCTCGTTTATTGTTTGATGCTAGAATTAAATATAAAGTTTCATTTGACTCCAAGTTAGAAAAAGTTAAGTATAAAGTATAAGAATAAATTTATCTTTTCAAAACTGCCCCAAATTAGCATTATGTTTACTTATTAATTGATTTTTTGGCAGAAAAATTAAGCAAGCAAATTTTTCAGTGTCTTTGGAAATCTCGATATCATTTTGATCAATGTAAAAAAGCTCGATAATATTTCTCAATTGTAGCTATTCAATCGAAAAATAAGAGCCTGCTAAATTAGAGTCAATAGATTGTACTTTAAATTGTTGAAAACATATAATCTAGTAAAGTGATTTTCTAAAAGTTTTCAAGTTTAAAACTAACTGCATCAAAGAAAGGGAAAATTTAGGAGTTTTAGGTATGAATGAGATAAAACCGATTAGCAAAGAAATATATTAAATGAAAATTTTATGAGACTGGTTCAATATTAAATTTATTAGATGCCGGAATGAATAAGAGGAGTAAAAAAATTATGCAACAAGAAGTTTCATCCACAGCAAAAGACTGTTTTCTTTTAAAATGTCTCAACATTATGTTTTACTCCGGCCGTTGTTTTATTGCAATTCATAAAAATTTCATGGTTTTTTATCTTGAAAATTTCCTTAAAAAAATTAAGGTAAATTGTCGCAGTCAGGTTTAACTCCTGGCGATTGTTTCCCTTGAGTAATAAAATGTTACTGATTTTCCATTCTAAAAAAATCAACCTGATGGTTTCAAAATTGGCTTCAAAAGTTATTAAAAAAGTAGTTGCATAAAAAAAACGGGAACTTGAAAGGAACACTTGAAAGCATTGATCAGAAGAAAAAAGAGACCTGACTTTAACGTGAAAAATAAAAAAAATCAAGTTATCAACGGAAATATATTTCATTTTAGGATATTTCATTTTTTGCTACTTCCAAACGTTTCCCTGGACCAGCAAATACTATTTTTGTGACAAAACAAAACTTTGAATAAAAACCTTTTCTTTTCTTTTTTTTTACTCACAAGCTTATTTAGAGGGGCAACGTGGGAATAACGCCCTTTGGCATGATTCGGTCGATGAACTCCTTGCCAAACAAATTATCCTTCGGTACTATTTTACAACATCGGTTTTCGACCCAAAAATAATCGACGACAAAATATACTAATTTTGAACGGGCAGGGTATAATAAAAACAAAAAAGCTATATTTTGCTCAGAATTTTCCAGAATTATGGCCCAAAAATAAGGTATTTTGACGAAATATTGTCTTTAGAGTATTTTTAACATTTGAACATTTTTTTGATAAATCGGTTCTCAAAAAAATGATAGGTTTGCCCTTTGCCTATACTTTTTAAAATGATTGAGAGAATGCTATCTATCAGATACACAACATTAGTGTTTGTAGCCTATAAAACCAAATAAAGACTGAGACAAATCAAAAACATTTTCCGCCTACAAAGTGATACTTAGAATAAGCAGTTTTTTTGTAAGAGTATATTTCAGAAACGTTTCTGAAATTTTGTCGATTTTTTAGATCGATCAAATTGATTTTTGAGCTCTATAAACACTATGAACATCCTATTTGGCCAATATATTTCATTTGCTGGCCATTTTGCCGTTTTTTGGGCCAAACGCAATCCCCCCATATCGCTACTGCTTTTACCCTAAATTTTCATTGGAACCGTATTGGGTTGCCAAAAAAAATTGTTTTATTATACAGTTACAGAGTAAAAACACTGTTAATAGCTCTGTAGAACTGTTGTTGAATTGCAACAGTGCCGTTAGATTGATGTTCTGCTTTTTTCGGTTTTTTGTTTCTGTAAGAATACAGTTTTCAAATCTGCAGTACTGTTTAAGTACTGAAACAGCCCTGCAACAGAACGTTCGCTTACTGGCTGTGAAAAAAAAAAAAAATTGTAAATTTTACCATTACTGGTGAACATTACAACTTTTTTTGTGTTTACTTTCAATTTCTAGAAGGTCTTTTTTGAAGTTTTGAAACCAATTGGATAGACATATTGCCTTGCATTTTTTGTTTTGTTTTGTTGGCTAGTTCATGTCCAACCTGTTAACATGTCATTTGATTTTTTTTTAGAAATTATTGGAATGTTGAACTGATTTTTCCGATACCACGTTTAGCTTACAATTTTTTTTTTCGAATCTACGAACTTGAAAAACATTTTAACAACTTCTTTTTCAAAAAAAACTATTTAATTGGAGTGTAGGTGGAGTTAACTAACCTATATTTCAAAGTCTTATACACATTCTTTGGAAAAATTCAGCTGTCTTTTTTCACAAATTTGACAGTTTTTTCGAATTTTAAAATCCGTTTTCTCTGAGTTCAGACGAACTTAGGTAGTTTAACCTCTGAAATTAAGAATTAGTTAAGTTTTGTGATGTTTTGCTTACATGTAGTACTGCTGCAGTGCTTTTTTGTTTTTATACTGCAACAGTACTGATTTTCACTGCAAGATCAAATCCAAAAATATTTTTAAGATCTAAACTTTTATATATATTTTTGCATTAAGTGATTCTTTAGCTATTCCTAAGAGGCACCATTTTTTTGAAAGCTTTTATTTACAATTGTCACATATTGTAACTTGTCAAATACTAGTGTACACAGTATTGATCGATCGTATAATTCCTATGTCAGTCTAGGGGGATATCCATGGATTTTTCAGAATTAACTTTATGGGAAAAATATATTGATCTGTTCAATAAAAGGAATCAATGAAAAATTAATTAGGAATAGTAGTTTGGTAATCAACAGTACGAAACAGTTCGTAAAAAGTGACTAATTGTAACAAGGCATTGGCAAGTAGATTAAACGAAAAAGGCAAGTAAAAACCAAAAAGCAGAAAAATAGATGAATACGATATGAATTAAAAAAACTACCATATCAGCATAATGTGATTTCTTTTCATGATGATTCCTCAGATTAAGCGTTTTTTAAAATGATTCAAAAGTTTGAGCATGTAAATCAAATAGTTTAATCTTAGAAAATAACAACAAAAAGTTAGGAAAATTTTTGAAAATTTTCCTTCCTTGAGAAAATTTTAGATCGGCCCCTGACCTTGACTCAATTTTATTAAAATCTATCAAAATTTTTACTATTTTCATTCTCATAATTGTAGCTTAAACAAGCACTACAATCAATTTTTTCCTTCAAACTTAGATTCCTCCAACTTGCCTCCGAAAGGGTACATTTTAACATCCTATTGATGAAAAGTCATAATGATTACATTAACAACTGGTTTCAAACATTTTTTTAAAACACCAACAAAAAAACAGAAAAAACCAAAAGCAAAACAAAAAACAAGAAAAAAACATAATTAAAAAACAACTAAATTGAAAGAAAATGATTTTTGCTTTTAAAGTGATGACAAGATCTGCTCTAAAGTAATTTTGATAGCCATGGGTTTTAAAGTACATTTTGCATTAATTTCTTTCAAAAAACAATTAGCAACTTTAAAGAAAAATCAAAAAAATCATGAAAATTTCCGAAAACTTTTTTTGTTCGTTTTTTGTTCGTGGTGCATTGTCAGGATCTGAAATTGAGTCTAAAAGTTCAATAGCAATATTTTTAGGTACATATAACAGCAATGCTGGTATAAGAAAGAATAAAACAAGTCAAAACGAAAAACTTTAAAAAGTTCATAGAAACTTAAAATTATTTCAAAATTTTTGCAAAATTTTTTTCGTTTTTAAACTTTTGTTCAAAAAAAGTGCTTAGCGAAAACTAAAAAAGTTTGTTACTGGGTTAAAGAAAAGTTTCGAGGATTCAACTTGATTTCAAGGACTACTTTTAAAATGTTTTTATAAGCGTACTTTAAGTATTATATTCGTTTTAGTTGCTCGAAAAAACTCTTTATGAAAAAATTAACACTGCTTCTATGATCAATGGATTTTTTTTACGTCAAATTCAAAATGTATTTCAAGGAAGAATTTCCAGTATATTAATATGATATTCCTTACAATCATTTTGATTAATATTTGTGGCAACCGAAGTTGCGTGGAAAAACAAAAAAACAAAACTAAAACATACCTGATAACAAAATTCCTCCCCATTAACAATAAATCTAATTTCATTGAGTATAGTTGATAATAATTTGATAAAACGAAAAATATTCCAAATTTATTATTTGGAGTCAATAGTTTTCATTTTTTGTATTTAAAATATTTAAAAAGCACTTTTAAAAACCCTTTTGAAAAAACAAGACTTCTTGTCTATCAAGATGAAGCCCTGAGCGTCCCGACTGCTCCCTATTTGATAGCTCTTATTTTTTAACAAAGTAAAAACCAAAACCGTGAATTGCAGTCAGCATCAGACATCAAGCGTTAAAATTTGAGTGATACGAACTGCAAACGACCAATTACAATGCCTGGATTCAATTTGGAACTGTTTTTCCTGCAGATAATTGGGCACCTATGAACAATTCGCAACACTTTTTCAACATCATTATTTGAAATCTTCAAATAAAATAGCCCAGAACCAAATTTTTAAACTTTTATTAAAATTTATGATTTCAGTTGCCAAAATTTGGTTGAACTAGAAGCCGACCCAACCACAAACACAACGGTTTTCAAATTTTACAACGGCAATTTTTTTTTCAAATTTTACAACGGCAAGACTGCTCATATCATGATGTGGCTTTAAACGTTCTTACTGCCCTTTAATGTTTCTCAAAAACTATCTGACCAAAAAAATGCTCCAAAAATTGAAAATAAAATTTGATAACTTTTGCGTGGGGTAATGCCTAATGAGAGCGCAATGTTGCACAAAAGTTTTTAAATTTAAGTTGTCGCATAGTGTCGCCGAAGTTCGAATCATTATACTTTTGATTGGTCATAAAAAAACAGGCGCCAAATTTTTTTCGATATGGTCAGGAACTTTTTGGACACTTCAAAATATGGCTTCGAACGAAAAAAATATTAAAATATTCAAGGAAAAACTGCCGGTTACAAACAATCAGTCACTTTCTTGGAACGTTGAAACTGCTTTTTAGTGTCTATAGTAGTATAAAAATATCAGGAGAGCCCCAATAACCGATTCATTAAGAGTTTTCTTATCTAGGCGGTTGGAATAGAAGACATTTTCATCATCTTTTTTTTTTATCTCAGTAAATAACTGAAAAAATACCGATGTCAAACTATGCGTGGAAGGGGCAAACTACTTCTTTATGATTGGCTGAAACTGTAAGAAATGTCAAGGTGAAATACTCTGTATAAAATCATCAAGCTTAGTTTCTCCGCAACGGGCGCAGTACATGTTTTCGATAGGACAAAGTTATTATGATTAAGTGCGATATCGAATAGATTTTTTATCAAACATCTGTCAAAACAAATTTAAGGTCAAAAAATGAATCCTTTTATTTTGTTAAGAAATTACAGCTATATTAATTTCACACAAACACAC